GACGATGGAACATGATACCGTTACATTGAAGCAAACACTGCTGAACAGTATGGCGACGTTAGTTTAATTACAAAGGCCTGCGAATTCAAAATTCATAAACGTAGTTTTGGTTTCAATAACATATTTTCACAGCTTTCGAAAGTAATATTCACCTTTTTCTATCACGTAAGGATTTTTTACAAATCGGGAAGAAAAAAACTGTTACTTAGATCAAATTATTATTTCATTTACCACAATTAACATGTTTTGTTATTATGTATGTTAACAAAAATACAAGCAAACTGAAGAAAAGGGAAGAACAATGATGTCAAACGAATATGATCCTCATTCATCCTGAAAAAAAGGGAAGAACATTAATGTTAAACGAATATGATCCTCATTCATTTCATCCTGATTTTTTTTGTGTGGGAAATCTACGTCTTTTAGTCTTAAAAATACGTGTTGTGGTCTTTCTTTAATGTTTTGCGTTATGACGTTTTGTGAAAAATGGATACCATTTTCGGATTCAGCGTACAGGAATTACTGTAGAATATGTAAAAATTTCCAGACAATAAAACCATCGCAGGCCTGTATTATCCGTTTACTGGCATAGTACATGGAAAAATATTGCTAAATAAACATTATATAGATATGTTTTCCTTACTTTAATTTTAATTCTAGCCTAATGACATCGTTTAGACTCTTAGCTATCGTCTTACTGGCTAAAGAGACACTAAAAAAAAAAGAATTTGCATTCCTATGAGGTGACGCTGCTATGCCTAGAATAAATGTTAGATGAAAAGTAAAAAACATAATATTCAGAACACTGAAAACGATGATCCAAGTAAACTGATGTTTGCGTGCTTGGAAAGTGAGAAAAAAGAAATTCTACAAATTTCGGCCAATAGGAGAACGCGATATCGTTACACTCAAGCAAACACTACTGGTCGGTATGGCGACATTAGCTTAATTATCTGTTAACGAACATAGTACAGGCGAAACTCATTTCCACCATTTCTGCGTCTATTTTAATTATATGTTGAGTTTGTTTTCATTGTGATACAGTGACGTCAAAGTCGGTTAATGCAAGTGTAATTACATTAAATCGATATTGTGGGTCAATAGCTGAGTGTATAATTTCAGTTCAAATTATTCTATAATGTAGAGTTTTCCGCGCCATTACTTCACTTCATGAAAACAGCTGAGAATTATTTTATAGTAAGCAACATTGTTATATCCAGAGAAACGTGTCGAATAAGTAAATAGCATTCATACTTGTCGAAACTTCTAGGACACCTGCCAACGTCATCATTCTAGTAAACAAAATCTCATTTTATTGAGTTAAAACGTTATTTATTGTTTTTAATGAAAACTAATCTATCAAGTTTAGTTTTCCTACTGAATTTCCTGTCTTACAATTATGGACAAACAAATGAGAACAAAAAACATAAACATTCAACATTACTTTCATATATTTGTGGACAAAAAAAAATTAGATCTAAAACGTGTTGCGCTTATATGAAACTCGATGAGCATCAAAACTGCTCATTTAGCATCTACTTTTTAAGCATACAAACATTCAAATTAGAATTACTGTATCTGTATTTGATGTAACGCTTCTCAGCCAAGTATATTTTCGAGCGTAAATGATACGTTCTTTTACGTATATTTGTATAAAAGGTGTACTCTTTTGAATTGTAGTTTTCCTGCATCAAGTCTGTCAGAAATGATTAGGACGAGTGTTATCTCAATCCTTCCGATGATCATAATTTATGTTTATTCATTTAATGCCAACAAAAATTAATCACTTTTAAACCTGAAGCGCTAGCAACTGTTTACTGACATTTCATTTGGTCTACTTAGGCTCATTCCTGGGCGTAAACAGCGAAGGGCAGGTGCATTAAACACATGCTGATAAAACAAAATAGAAGAAAACCCCATGTTTGTTATTTTGCTTTATTTGTTTTTGTCTTGCGTTTAACGCAAGCTTTTGGCTTTCAGATGTAGCCTTCTTTAAACTCAACTGAATGAAAATTTGAAACATAACTGACTGTTAAAGAACTGCAAAGAAGTAGAGGTATACGTATATATATTAATATACATACTCTGACGTACATTTCGTCACACTTAATACACTAAACAACAGCTCATACCTGATATCAGTTTAAAAAGATTACATAATAATAAGGACAGGGTATGGCCTCGTAGTATTCAAAGGATGTATGGTTCATGGATCGTTTCCTACTACCGGAAAAGCACTTGGGCTGTGGGTGAACTATAAAAGTGACGGTCAAATCCTACTATTCGGTTATATAAGATTAGCCAATGGTTGGTGGTGTTGACTAGCTGCCTTCCCTCTAATCTAATAGTTCAACATTAAGGATGCCTATGCGCAGATAGCCCTTTGTGTAGCTTTGCACGAAAATTCGAAAACAAACGAACACATTAATAAATATAAAAGTACACAATACACATTAAATCTGGTGCGATATATTGTATTTATAAAAAATGAATGTGTCTGTTATTCCAGTCCTTGTCCATGGCTGTATATGGTCACTCTTCATCTTCCTTATTACACCTTTATTATATTGTGTTTTTAAATGGTTTAAAAGTCCTGAAGTACTGTTCCTTAGTGTGTTTTCATTGCAGCCAAACAATAAAAAATCCCGGATATTATATCATATAAGTGTTATTTTACCCTTATTTTCATTGTTTGCCCTATTTCGCCACACAGCACTTACCGCAGCTACAAGCTAAGCAATATGCTATTCTTTTCCTGTTT